TATACTATACACATGGGACTAGTAACGTTATAGTATGCACAAGAGAGTAGTAACCTTATTGTATATGCAAGGGAGTAGTAACGTTATAGTATGCACAAGAGAGTAGTGACGTTATAGTATGCACAAGGGAGTAGTAACGTTATAGAATACAGAAGGGAGTAGTAACGTTATAGTATGCACAAGGGAGTAGTAACGTTATAGAATATACAAGGGATTAGTAACGTTATAGTATGCACAAGGGAGTAGTAACGTTATAGAATACACAAGGGAGTAGTGACGTTATAGTATGCACAAGAGAGTAGTAACGTTATAGAATTCACAAGTTAGTAGTAACGTTATAGAATACACATGGGAGTAGTAACGTTATTGTCTACACAAGGTAGTAGTAACGTTATAGTATGCACAAGAGAGTAGTAACGTTATAGAATATACAAGGTAGTAGTAACGTTATAGTATGCACACAGAGTTGTAACGTTATAGAATACACAGGGGAGTAGTAACGTTATAGAATACACAAGCGAGTAGTGACGTTTTAGAATACAAATGGGAGTAGTAACGTTATATAATATAAAAGGGAGTAGTAATGTTATAGTATGCACAAGGGAGTAGTGACGTTATAGAATACACATGGGAGTAGTAAGGTTAAAGTATACACAAGAGAGTAGTAACTTTATAGAATACACAAGGGAGTAGTAACGTTATTGTATACACATGGGAGTAGTAACGTTATAGTATGCACAAGAGAGTAGTAACGTTATAGAATACACAAGGGAGTAGTAACGTTATAGTATACACAAGAGAGTAGTAACCATATAGTATACACAAGAGAGTAGTAACTTTATTGTATACACATAGGAGTAGTAACGTTATAGAATACACAAGGGAGTAGTAACGTTACAGTATGCACAAGAAAGTAGTAACCTTATTGTATACACAAGGGAGTAGCAACGTTATAGTATACAGATGGGAGTAGTTACTTTATAGAATACACAAGGGAGTAGTAAGGTTATTGTATACACAGGAGTGCAGTCACGTTATAGAATACACAAGGGAGTAGTAACGTTATTGTATACACAAGGGAGTAGCGAGGTTATTGTATACACAAGAGCGTAGTAACGTTATAGTATACACAAGGGAGTAGTAACGTTATAACATGCACATGGGAGTAGTAACGTTATAGTATGCACAAGGGAGTAGTAACGTTATAGATGCACAAGGGATTAATTACGTTATGGTATGCACAAGAGAGTAGTAACGTTATAGTATACACATGGGAGAAGTAACTTTATAGACTACACAAGAGAGTAGTAACGTTATAGAATTCACAAGGTAGTCGTAACGTTATAGAATACACATGGGAGTAGTAACGTTATTGTATACACATGGTAGTAGTAACGTTATAGTATGCACAAAAGAGTAGTAACGTTATAGAATACACAAGGGAGTAGTAACGTTATAGTATGCACAAGAGGGTAGTAACGTTATAGAATACACAGGGGAGAAGTAACGTTATTACATATACAAGAAAGTAGTAACGTTATAGAATACACAAGGGAGTAGTAACGTTATTGCATGCACAAGAAAATAGTAATGTTATAGAATACACAAGGGAGTAGTAACGTTGTAGAATACACAAGGGAGTAGTGACGTTATAGAATACACAAGGGAGTAGTAACGTTATTGTATACACAAGGGAATAGTAACGTTATAGTATGCACAAGAGAGTACTAACGTTGTAGAATACACAAGGGAGAAGTGACGTTATAGTTAAGGGAGTAGTAAGGTTATTGTATACACAATGGAGTAGTAACGTTATACAATACACAAGGGAGAAGTGACGTTATAGAATACACAAGGGAGTAGTAAGGTTATTGTATACACAAGAGAGTAGTAACGTTATAGAAAACACAAGGGAGTAGCAACGTTATAGTATACAGATGGGAGTAGTTACTTTATAGAATACACAAGGGAGTAGTCAGGTTATTGTATACACAAGGGGGTAGTAACGTTATACAATACACAAGGGAGAAGTGACGTTATAGAATACACAAGGGAGTAGTGAGGTTATTGTATACACAAGAGAGATGTAACGTTATAGAATACACAAGGGAGTAGCAACGTTATAGTATACAGATGGGAGTAGTACCTTTATAGAATACACAAGGGAGTAGTAAGGTTATTGTATACACAGGAGTGTAGTAACGTTATAGAATACACAAGGGAGTAGTAACGTTATTGTATACACAAGGGAGTAGCGAGGTTATTGTATACACAAGAGCGTAGTAACGTTATAGTTTACACAAGGGAGTAGTAACGTTATAAAATGCACATGGGAGTAGTAACGTTATAGTATGCACAAGGGAGTAGTAACGTTATAAAATGCACATAGGAGTAGTAACGTTACAGTATGCACAAGGGAGTAGTAACGTTATAAAATGCACATGGGAGTAGTAACGTTACAGAATACACAAGAGAGTAGCAACGTCATAGTATACACAAGGGAGTAGTACCGTTATAGTATACACAAGGGAGTAGTAAATTTATAGAATACACAAGGGAGTAATAACGTTATAGAATACACAAGTGAGTAGTAACGTTATAGTATACAGATGGGAGTAGTACCTTTATAGAATACACAAGGGAGTAGCGAGGTTATTGTATACACAAGAGCGTAGTAACGTTATAGTATACACAAGGGAGTAGTAACGTTATAACATGCACATGGGAGTAGTAACGTTATAGAATACACAAGGGAGTAGTAAGGTTATTGTATACACAAGAGAGTAGTAACGTTATAGAAAACACAAGGGAGTAGCAACGTTATAGTATACAGATGGGAGTAGTTACTTTATAGAATACACAAGGGAGTAGTCAGGTTATTGTATACACAAGGGGGTAGTAACGTTATACAATACACAAGGGAGAAGTGACGTTATAGAATACACAAGGGAGTAGTGAGGTTATTGTATACACAAGAGAGATGTAACGTTATAGAATACACAAGGGAGTAGCAACGTTATAGTATACAGATGGGAGTAGTACCTTTATAGAATACACAAGGGAGTAGTAAGGTTATTGTATACACAGGAGTGTAGTAACGTTATAGAATACACAAGGGAGTAGTAACGTTATTGTATACACAAGGGAGTAGCGAGGTTATTGTATACACAAGAGCGTAGTAACGTTATAGTTTACACAAGGGAGTAGTAACGTTATAAAATGCACATGGGAGTAGTAACGTTATAGTATGCACAAGGGAGTAGTAACGTTATAAAATGCACAAGGGAGTAGTAACGTTACAGAATACACAAGAGAGTAGCAACGTCATAGTATACACAAGGGAGTAGTACCGTTATAGTATACACAAGGGAGTAGTAAATTTATAGAATACACAAGGGAGTAATAACGTTATAGAATACACAAGTGAGTAGTAACGTTATAGTATACAGATGGGAGTAGTACCTTTATAGAATACACAAGGGAGTAGCGAGGTTATTGTATTCACAAGAGCGTAGTAACGTTATAGTATACACAAGGGAGTAGTAACGTTATAACATGCACATGGGAGTAGTAACGTTATAGTATGCACAAGGGAGTAGTAACGTTATAAAATGCACATGGGAGTAGTAACGTTATAGTATGCACAAGGGAGTAGTAACGTTATAAAATGCACATGGGAGTAGTAACGTTACAGAATACACAAGAGAGTAGCAACGTCATAGTATACACAAGGGAGTAGTACCGTTATAGTATACACAAGGGAGTAGTAAATTTATAGAATACACAAGGGAGTAATAACGTTATAGAATACACAAGTGAGTAGTAACGTTATAGTATACAGATGGGAGTAGTACCTTTATAGAATACACAAGGGAGTAGCGAGGTTATTGTATACACAAGAGCGTAGTAACGTTATAGTATACACAAGGGAGTAGTAACGTTATAACATGCACATGGGAGTAGTAACGTTATAGTATGCACAAGGGAGTAGTAACGTTATAAAATGCACATGGGAGTAGTAACGTTATAGTATGCACAAGGGAGTAGTAACGTTATAAAATGCACATGGGAGTAGTAACGTTACAGAATACACAAGAGAGTAGCAACGTCATAGTATACACAAGGGAGTAGTACCGTTATAGAATACACAAGGGAGTAGTAAATTTATAGAATACACAAGGGAGTAATAACGTTATAGAATACACAAGTGAGTAGTAACGTTATATAATTCACAAGTAAGTAATGACCACCCATTTAACCCCAAAGAAACAACATTCCACTTTTAACGTCTTTTTGTATCGCACAATAGAAACTTTAGCATTTCCCCAATGTGGTAGGTCATGAGGTAGTGAGTTAATGGCTGCTGTTGAATGCCTCAGTCAGTATTTTTCCATAATTGCATGGCAGTCTGTAAAAAATCCAGTCAGAGCCAAGCAAACCAGTGGCTGATAGCATGTGCAACGATCACCTCCAACGAACTACGGTAACACAATCAACCAGATTACATTGGGGCCACGTGATGTGGATGTTTCACGACTCTAAAGACAATGAACTGTCACCTATTGTCAATCAAACACCATTATTGACCAATCAGAAAGTCCAAGTTGATGCTGAATCCACTACTTTGTCTGAATAACTTCAAGTATTTCAAAGTGCCGTAGTGATGAAATATTTATTGTTGATACATGATTCAACATTGCTATCTTGTAGAGTGTTGTGAGATGGCATGATGGGCAGATGTGAACGCACATATATTTACATACTGTTGTTTTCAAAAGGCACAATCATCAAGTCACGGACATCGTTTGATGGAATCTGTAGAATGGTCCCATGTTATGTCTGAGAAAATAAGTCGTGAATTTCTAGTAACAGTTCATGCATCCCCTTGTTGTACTCCAAATACACAGGGGTGAATAATCCGGTGATCGGGAAAATAGTTACAGGAAAAAAGTTACGAAATCAAATTATTTATGTCATTTTATTTCATACACAATGTTTTATTGACATAGCACCGTATATAGCAATCACAGTATTTAGTTTAAAGTCCAAAGTTGCTTATGGAGATTGGACAACAGATTTATGACCTTCAGCGATGTCCAGACATTGATTCTTCAAATGATTTTGAAGACGAACAAACTTCCTCTTCACCTTCTTGACAGGGATATTGCCGATGGCTTCTTGTATTGGGACAGTGTCGATGGTTGCATTTTCTTCAGCATAATCCGTGACAGTACGTGTTTCATCACTTCAAACACACACGGGCAAATAATCTATGACAGTAAATGTTTCATCATTTCAAACATATACGGTGTGATCACAGGTGACGGTATATTATATTTCATCACTTTAAACACTCACGGGCGAATAATCCATGACAGTAAATGTTTCATCATTTCAAATATTTACGGTCGGATCCGAATCTTACAGTATATGTTTCATCACTCCAAACATACACCGGTACAAAATCCATGACAGAAAATGTGTGATCACTTCAAACACACTGACTGATCAAACATGGCGGTTTATGTGTCATCACTTTAACAACACACAAACTGGCACAAACACAGGACGAGTTTTGGCAGAGACCCTTTGGATTAACTCTGATCATATATCTAAGGTCACCATATGTACAGTTCTTGATCACACAGTAGTTCTCTGCTGGTCTTCGATATTACTTCTTTTGTGGTCATTCCCATAGAGGAATTCAAATACATGCATAACTCTGTGTACATACCTAATAATTAAGGTCGTCAACATGTTGAATTAAGCAGCTCTCACACTTTGCCAAGGTGGTTGCCGAGCTCTACCGAGCTTAACTCGGTTAGGACTCAGGAAGAGACATATATACGAGTATGTTACGAGCCCCATAGGAGTCCAATAGGAGTCCAATAGGAGTCTAATTGGAGTCTATTAAGAGTTGCATACGAACACAACGATCTCGATACGAGCTGTACGAGTTTGGTACGACTTTGGTACGAGGTGGCTACGAGCTGCTAAATAATTCGACGGGAATTTGTCACATGATTTAACATACAGGCTCGTATAGCTCGTATTAGACTCGGTCAACTCGGCAGTAAATTTTGCAGACGAGTTCTGTACGAGCACCACGAGTTCGCCACGGTAATACGAGTAGGACGAGTAGGTTACAAGTTTGTTAAGAATTTGTTAGGAGTTGTCTGGTCCAGACTGGATTATTTACAGACCGCCGTCATATAGCTTGAATATTGCTGAGTGCGGCGTTAAACAACAAACAAACAAACAAAATGTTAGGAGTTGGCTGGAGGCCCGACTGTTTTGAGCAGTTCCAGAACTCTCGTAGATCAGTATGATGTATCCCGAGTTACCCCGAGTTTAGTACGACCTCGCTACGAGCTCCATACGAGTACCCCCGAGTCAGCTCGGGTTCATACTCGGGACGCAACTCGGCAAAGTGTGAGAGCCCCTTTAAAGTCATGACGAATATACTGCCCGCTGAACACGTCCGTCAGTGAACACACTATAAACGCAGTGCTATAACTGGAATACTGTTCAAAGTGGCGTTATACATTGTTAAAGTAAGACTTAATCGTTGTGACGAATGATATCATACCCGAGTCGTACCACCGCAGACAAATGCACTAGAGCTTGTTAATTTTTTTACATCAGTTTTGATTTAATGTCACTTGTTATTGCGAGTGTGAAGCTTCACCTCTTCTAACCTGTCCCACTGGCAACAATCACAGCTTAATTTATGCCTCATCTTGGTGAGCTTCACTATTATATCGTCTTCTGTAAACATAAATATTTGTCTTGAGCCATGGTAGAGTTGCCTGTTTTTGGAGAACGTTACTAGCGGCCACATCAGGTTCAAACCCCTTGCCTGACAGAACACTCTGTACATATGACAAGGGTCTGTTGTTAACGTGCGAGAGGCCGCCTTGACCAGGCACTGCCCAGCTCAAAACAATACCTATCTTTGCGTGCCTCGCGATATTGTCAACGTATATCTCTTCATACTGAGATGGAATATGTTCCGCCACCTCAAGGCTTATGATCCAGTCATATATCGGAAGTCCGTACTGCGGCGCCGTCAGATCTAAAAACCGGACCACCCCACCACTCGTTTCCGGTCCATAGGGGGCGCCATCGAAAGCATCGTAGATAAGAAGTCGACGTGTGGAGTCTAGGTATTTCTTGTAGTCGCCTGGGCCATCCCCGAAACTTGCCACCGTTTGGTTTTGAAAGAATATTGACAGTTGCTCTGCTAGACTTTTATCACATATATGTGACCCGCCTTCTGATCTACTTGTCTGTCTGCACCACCCACCCGCCGTAGACACCGAGGGCAGCAGCGTCTGGAGGGGAAATACAGATGAACACCACACAGTTAAAACTACGACTTACAACTTACCACTAAGTCTGTAGTCGTACTTCTTAGACTACCCGTGCTTCTAAAACGTTCTACTTTTAATAGTAAAATTACATAGTAACAATTTTATTCGTTAAGGCACTTCGAACATACACCTGGCCAGTAAAATGTCCACACGAGGCGTATAAAAACAAACTAGAGAAAACGAATATTTATACACGTACCCTGTTAAGTTTTGCATACAAGTCTATCATTTCACAGCTCATGGCTGCGATTTCTTGTTTGACCTTGTTAAGTGTTTTAGACAGCTCATTTCTCTGTTTGCGGAACTTCTCAGCTGCCTGCACGGTGACGTGAATCTCCAAACCTTCCTCTCTGTCTGGTATTCTATGGATGCTTTGCTGAAGAAGGGACGACTTCATGACAATGACGCCGATTACTCCTAGTACTGAGAGAACCATTACTAATGACATGAACCATTTCTGCCGAGCCATGGTGGGAATCAACCTGTAACGAAATATAGACATAAATAGGAAGGTAACCAAATGTTGGATGTTATGTTACATAAACAAATGCGTTGGTGGTAATGTCGGAAATGAAACAATATAGGCGAACATTATTTGAGTTACAAAGCGTCGACGATGTAAACAGATGACAAGATGACGCAGAAAACACTACGTACCACTTCCCGGGCATACCACACCTGACAATCCAACATACACGCCTGACCATCCAACATACACGCCTGACTATCCAACAAATACACACGACCATCCAACCCACGTCTGGCCTTTCTACATACACCCCCGACCATCCGACATACACGCCTGACTATCCATCATACACACACGACCATCCAACATACACACACGACCATCCAACATACACACACGACCATCCAACATACACACACGACCATCCAACATACACACATAACCATCCAAACCACGCCTGGCCTTTCTACATACACACCCGACCATCCGACATACACGCCTGACCATCCAACATACACACATGACCATCCAACATACACACCTGACCATCCAACATACACACACGACCATCCAACATACACACACGACCATCCAACATACACACCTGACCATCCAACATACACACACGACCATCCAAACCACGCCTGGCCTTTCTACATACACACCCGACCATCCAACATACACGCCTGACCATCCAACATACACACACGACCATCCAAACCACGCCTGGCCTTTCTACATACACACCCGACCATCCGACATACACGCCTGACCATCCAACATGCACACCTGACCATTCAACATACATTCCTGACCATCCAACATGCACACCTGACCATCCAACATACATGCCTGACCATCCAACACAGACGCCTGACCATACATTCCTGACCATTCAACATACATGCCTGACCATCCAACATACACGCCTGACCATCCAACAAATACACACGACCATCCAACCCACGTCTGGCCTTTCTACATACACCCCCGACCATCCGACATACACGCCTGACTATCCATCATACACACACGACCATCCAACATACACACACGACCATCCAACATACACGCCTGACCATCCAACATACACACACGACCATCCAACATACACACCTGACCATCCAACATACATGCCTGACCATCCAACATACACACACGACCATCCGACATACACGCCTGACCATCCAACATACACACACGACCATCCAACATACACACCTGACCATCCAACATACATGCCTGACCATCCAACACACATGCCTGACCATCCAACATGCACACCTGACCATCCAACACACATGCCTGACCATCCAACATACATGCCTGACCATCCTTCACACATGCCTGACCATCCAACATACATGCCTGACCATCCAACATGCACACCTGACCATCCAACATACATGCCTGACCATCCAACACAGACGCCTGACCATACATTCCTGACCATTCAACATACATGCCTGACCATCCAACACAGACGCCTGACCATCCAACACAGACGCCTGACCATCCAACACACATGCCTGACCATCCAACACAGACGCCTGACCATCCAACACACATGCCTGACCATCCAACACAGACGCCTGACCATCCAACATACATGCCTGACCATCCAACACAGACGCCTGACCATACATTCCTGACCATTCAACATACATGCCTGACCATCCAACACAGACGCCTGACCATCCAACACACATGCCTGACCATCCAACACAGACGCCTGACCATCCAACATACATGCCTGACCATCCAACATACATGCCTGACCATCCAACATACATGCCTGACCATCCAACATACATGCCTGACCATCCAACACAGACGCCTGACCATCCAACATGCATGCCTGACCATCCAACATGCATGCCTGACCATCCAACATGCATGCCTGACCATCCAATACACATGCCTGACCATCCAACATACATGCCTGACCATCCAACACACATGCCTGACCATCCAACATGCACACCTGACCATCCAACACACATGCCTGACCATCCAAATACACGCCTGACCATCTAACACACATGCCTGACCATCCAACATGCACACCTGACCATCTAACACACATGCCTGACCATCCAACATACATGCCTGACCATCCAACATGCACACCTGACCATCCAACACACATGCCTGACCATCCAACACAGACGTCTGACCATCCAACATACATACCTGACCATGCAACATTCACACCTGACCATTCAACATACATTCCTGACCATCCAACATGCCCACCTGACCATCCAACATGCCCACCTGACCATCCAACATGCATGCCTGACCATCCAACATGCACACCTGACCATTCAACATACATTCCTGACCATCCAACATGCCCACCTGACCATCCAACATACATGCCTGACCATCCAACATACATGCCTGACCATCCAACACAGACGTCTGACCATCCAACACAGACGTCTGACCATCCAACATGCACACCTGACCATCCAACACACATGCCTGACCATCCAACACAGACGTCTGACCATCCAACATACATACCTGACCATGCAGCCTGACCATCCAACATGCACACCTGACCATCCAACATGCACACCTGACCATTCAACATACATTCCTGACCATCCAACATGCCCACCTGACCATTCAACATACATTCCTGACCATCCAACATGCACACCTGACCATTCAACATACATTCCTGACCATCCAACATGCCCACCTGACCATTCAACATACATTCCTGACCATCCAACATTCACACCTGACCATCCAACATACATGCCTGACCATCCAACACAGACGCCTGACCATCCAACACACATGCCTGACCATCCAACATTCACACCTGACCATCCAACATACATGCCTGACCATCCAACACAGACGCCTGACCATCAAACACACATGCCTGACCATCCAACATTCACACCTGACCATCCAACATACATGCCTGACCATCCAACATACATGCCTGACCATCCAACACAGACGCCTGACCATACATTCCTGACCATCCAACATACACGCCTGACCATCCAACACACACGCCTGACCATCCAACACAGACGCCTGACCATACATTCCTGACGATTCAACATACATTCCTGACCATCCAACATACACTCCTGACCATCCAACACACACGCCTGACCATCCAACACACATGCCTGACCATCCAACATGCACACCTGGCCATCCATCCAACATACATGCCTGACCATCCAACATGCACACCTGACCATCCAACATACTCTCCAGAATATCGAACATACATGCCTGACCATCCAACATGCATGCCTGACCATCCAACATTCACACCTGACCATTCAACACACATGCCTGACCATCCAACATACATGCCTGACCATCCAACATTCACACCTGACCATCCAACACACATGCCTGACCATCCAACACAGACGCCTGACCATCCAACACACATGCCTGACCATCCAACATTCACACCTGACCATCCAACATACATGCCTGACCATCCAACACAGACGCCTGACCATCAAACACACATGCCTGACCATCCAACATTCACACCTGACCATCCAACATACATGCCTGACCATCCAACATACATGCCTGACCATCCAACACAGACGCCTGACCATACATTCCTGACCATCCAACATACACGCCTGACCATCCAACACACACGCCTGACCATCCAACACAGACGCCTGACCATACATTCCTGACGATTCAACATACATTCCTGACCATCCAACATACACGCCTGACCATCCAACACACACGCCTGACCATCCAACACACATGCCTGACCATCCAACATGCACACCTGGCCATCCATCCAACATACATGCCTGACCATCCAACATGCACACCTGACCATCCAACATACTCTCCAGAATATCAAACATACATGCCTGACCATCCAACATACCCACACGATGGACCATCCAGCATACACACACGATCGACCATCCAGCATACACACACGATCGACCATCCAACATACACATACTAACATCCACATACAACCGTTCAACATACACACACGACCATCCAACATACACACACGACCATCCAACATACACACACACGACCTTCCAACGTACACACACACGACCATCCAACAAACAAAATACCATCCAACATACACACCCACGACCTTCCAACATACACACTACCATTCAACATACACACACACACACGACCATCCAACAAACACACACCACCATCCAAATGCCGCGGCACAACGTACACCTTTATATCTCCTGTTAATTAACTTTTCATTATATTCGTTGACGGATCACTAGAAATACGGTCCATTTCAATGCTTCCCCATGTACTAAATTAAGGATGATGATATTTAATAGGCAACTGACTTCAAACGCATTGTATCAACTTATTTTCCATGAACAATGCATTTGATTTCCATCTGTTTAAAGTGGAAAACTATAACAAGTGTGACCAGGGCTTGTTTGCCTAACAATATATATTAGCAGGAACACAACTGTCGTGCAGTACTCGCACAGATGCAGGACTATTTGACTACCGCTGTGTATTATATCCAATGTTTGCTTGGGATGAAATCTCCGGTAAAGACCGTTACAAGTTAAACCGCCTTTGTCGATGTCACGCAACCAACCAATATTTATCGAGAGCCAACACCGTGTGCTTCAGACAATAAAAGAATCCATTGTTGTTGCCTACAATCTTGCCTCATTTGTTGATTGCATGTTTGATCGACAAATGCAATTTTTTTCATAATGTGTTAATATTTAATGCAACGTATTCACAGACTGTGCAGTTCGAAATGTACATGCCACATCCAAGTAGCGTTCAGCATGTAAAATGTCGGTTATGTGAGGTTCGGCGACGTCTCATTTGATACAGCTTTGTTTCTATAGTGTCACTGTGTTTATATCGACACCACGGAACAGAACACGTTTTGGAACTGTTTTCTAATATTTTCAGGACTTGATCTGTTATAGCTGCTAGGAACTTCAATCATTTTTTTGTATCATTCATGCCAAATGATCAAATCTATCTAATATTGTAAGTAATAATTTATTATATCATTTGAATACATTGTCAATTTTACGAGTCGTGAAATAAAAGCGACAAAATCCTTTTCCTAATCTGAAGAAATATCTGCTAAAAGCAGAGTACAAATACTATTCCGAGCAGGGATAGATCCAGGATATATAAAAAGGGAGTAGGGGTGTGTGTCCACCTGGGCCTTTTGTAACTTCAAGGGCAGGGGCGGTCCAAACAAATAGCCTACCCCAAAAGGCACACACACTATATGTAAACCATTATTAATTATGTTACTTTAACAACCGCATCAACATGTTATCATGGTAGGAATTGCGCATACAAAATGTCATCAGATGTGAAAAAGAGGTGGTGGCATCCCCTCCACCCATCCCCAAGGTACTTGTAGATCTGTCAGAGATGTTCAACATGAACTGAACTTTACGACTTTCTGAGGAAGTGTTCCTGCTGACACAACCTCATTGGGATGGCTCGAATACTCTCGTTGGAACTCACCTATACTACTTCCGGGTACATATCTTCGGTGTCATATATACATATATATATGGTGTGGTCGCCAGGAAGAACATCTATATTCGTTGGGAAGGATGTGATCGCCAGGCAGGGAGGAGACCTATATTTGTTAGGGAATGTGTGGTCGCTAGGAAGAAGGTCTATATTTCCCAGGTGGATATGGTTGCTAGAGAAGTTGTGGTCGCCAGATAGGAGATATACATGTATTTTATCCAGGGTTGGTGTGATCGCCAGGGAGGAGACCTATATTAGCAAGGCATGGCTTTCGAAAAGAGAAGATATATGTTCCCCATTGAGGGTGTGGTCGCCAGGAAGAAGATATATATTCGTTAGAGACGGAAATATATAATCTACAGCGAGGGTGTGGTCGCCAGATAGGCGATATATATTATCAAGGGAGGTTGTGGTCGCGAGATTGGAGACATATTCGCAAGGGAGGGTGTGGTCGCCAGATAGAAGATATATATTCTCCAGGGAGGTTGTGGTCGGCAGATAGGAGATATATATTCTCCAGGGAGGGTGTGGTCGCCAGACAGGAGATATGTATTCTCCAGGGAGGGTGTGGTCGCCAGATAGGAGACATATTCGCCAGGGAGGGTGTGGTCGCCAGATAGTAGATATATATTCTCCAGGGAGGGTGTGGTCGCCCGATAGGAGATATATATTCTCCAGGGAGGGTGTGGTCGGCAGATAGGAGATATATATTCTCCAGGCAGGGTGTGGTCGCCAGATAGGAGACATATTCGCCAGGGAGGGTGTGGTCGACTGATAGGAGACATATTCTCCAGGGAGGGTGTGGTCGGCAGATAGGAGATATATATTCTCCAGGGAGGGTGTGGTCGGCAGATAGGAGATATATATTCTCTAGGGAGGGTGTGGTCGCCAGATAGGAGACATATTCGCCAGGGAGGGTGTGGTCGACTGATAGGAGACATATTCTCCAGGGAGGGTGTGGTCGCCAGATAGGAGATATATATTCTCCAGGGAGGGTGTGGTCGCCAGATAGGAGACATATTCGCCAGGGAGGGTGTGGTCGACTGATAGGAGATATATTCTCCAGGGAGGGTGTGGTCGCCAGATAGGAGATATATATTCTCCAGGGAGGGTGTGGTCGCCAGATAGGAGATATATATTCTCCAGGGAGGGTGTGGTCGCCAGATAGGAGACATATTCGCCAGGGAGGGTGTGGTCGGTTGATAGGAGACATATTCTCCAGGGAGGGTGTGGTCGCCAGATAGGAGATATATATTCTCCAGGGAGGGTGTGGTCGCCAGATAGGAGATATATATTCTCCAGGGAGGATGTGGTCGCCAGATAGGTGACATATTCTCCAGGGAGGGTGTGGTCGCCAGATAGTAGATATATATATTCTACAGGGAGGGTGTCGTCGCCAGATAGGAGACATATTCGCCATGTTGTCGCCAGGTCGGAGATACATTTTGGCCAGGAAGGAGACGTGTATTTGTCAGGGAGGGTGTGCCCACCAGGTAGGACACATTTGTTCATCGTGCAAGGTGTGGGCTACCGTAAAGGACCGTCTTTAGTCATTTACATGATCTAGGTATATATTTTCTTGTCGGATTCTATTGAAAAACATACGATGTCTTAAATGTTTGTAGTAACAGCAACTTAACAATGATTAACCACAACAAATACATGAATTGCAAACACAAAATTAAGATTCGAAGACATTCTGTTTATAACTGTCATAAACCTTTGCAACTGAATTTTACGTCGAAATATTAAATAAATAACAAAATGCATGAAACGACAAAATAGGCATATGCTACCGGCCGTGCCTAAATATACATATTAGCCATATTTGCTCAATATTTTCACTCACAGTTTTTCTCACGTTAACAAGTTGTTCTTAAAATACGGAGACAGTCTTCTCCTTGGCTGCCGTTCACTGTGTATACTTTGATATTTGCTTCGAACAATCTACTTTCAGTGTGTGTCCAACAGAGTACACTCTCCTCCACCAGCAACCGAGGACATACTCCGTCACAAGCCAGGGGCAAAGGGGCTACTAGCCATTTCCTGTGTCTATCTGATATTGCTGGATGGGAGCCTAGTTGTACCACCCACACTGACGGGGGTAGCAGCATCGTGATGGATGGACATACCTTAGTCAATCAATCTTCCCCGTCATCACGACGCTCGCGTGCAGGTCTGCTTTGGGACATGTTAGTTTGTGTCATTATTGGAAACTGATATGCATATCAGACATTACGATCTGTAACGATGTCATGATTTCAGTTGCCTCTCACTCTACAAATTGTATATAGCAAATCCAGCTGATTGTACTACTTGTGCATTTTTATAAAAGACGACATTCAAATATATCAAGATCTTACTATCACTTTACATTTTATTTGCATTCAAACTATTTACAGACGTACCTCAGATACAAAGTTTATATATCAATTATTCGTAGTTTTCAAAAAGCGTTACCCATTCTGATGTTCAATTTGCCATTAACACTCCGTCACTGACACCATTTCTATGAATTATTTTGGCATGATAAATGTCAAGTTATTGAGGATACTGTTTTCATGTGATCTTATTCTAAATATTATGAACGCTAACATTGATAGGCATTTCATCATTACCTGTATACGTACCAGTCCATGAAGTAAGAGTTATATTATACATCAAATTTAAACAAGAACAAAGTAAAGGACTAAAAAAAAACAATTTGCAACTAAAACGAAACAAATCTTACCTGCGGCTTCTGACACATAACTCTGAACGCCGGGCTCTAAAATTAAACTTTTGTTTAAGTGGGTTTTCACAAGTTGGTTTTCCGGCAAACAGCCTTCCCACATAGTTGACCAGCGCGAGGACAACAATAACATTTGATAGACCTAAATGTCCAGACGTGATTTGGACGTTTGATCAAGAAACCTGAATAATTTTGTGCGAATCTCCCGGGCACAGAATTGAGAGTTCATACAAAGAGAGGTAACTCTAATCTTTGTTTACTGGCTCAAGTCACAATAAGTAAACAAAATGAGTTTATCGCAGTTTGTTTCCGATGGATATTTTACGCGGCATAAACAAATGGCCGTAGCCTTGCATCTTACGTATCCCCTGGCACGATTCGCGAGGGGGTTTTAAAATATTTCGGATTTTTTCAAAACAAATCCTACTTCAAGCTGATGGGCCATGAAGTCTCGTCCAGGGTTATGTTCATTATGAAGGAGAGATAGTTGGTGTTTGAGTGTGGAGTAAACGGTGATACGTGACGCCGACAGTGAGGACCCCTTGTTTCGTGTCACCATGGCCTGTTGACTGATCAGAGAATTACAACTGTTCCCGGACCTTAAGGTGATAGTATTGATTTGAGAGTAAAGATGTAATGGTGTTATAGCTTGCCAAAACATTTAAAACGCCCTTTTTGCGTGGAGACAATGTATTCCCACATTGTTTTGTAATGAATTTAATTAGCACGTGAATGTTTGAAATGGCTGATATTACTGTTATTACTGCAACACGTGTATTTGTGAGAATATGAAGATAAATTCTTATGACATTCACATGTTTTACACTTAATATAATAAATATATTTACAGTTCGAAAGGTTATTTGTTGTCAAGCCACTCCAAAGTCATTTGCTTGCTTCTGGAATGCATAAGGAAACTGTACTTAGCCTTATTCAGCTATCACCACCACCGTCCTCTCCACGTCATTCATGTGCGAGTTCCAATACCGGAACTTTACTGTGTGAGTTATGTGCACATTCGGTTTGGCGACAAAATGTAAAAAACAATTATTCATTCAAGGACGATAGTGATTCTTAAACAATGTTTTAGTACGGAAATATAAAACTCAAGAATAGAAATAGTGTTTTTATGGCGGGAATCTGTGACTTATTGATATATGCCCCTTTCGGATTTTTCAACACCGAAAAACATTTAGGAAACATCAAGGTGTGGCATGTGCCACTTTCTAAGACCTGAAAGCACGGGACGTACTATGTCCCCTTGGGCATTATTCCATAAACCACCAACAGTGTTACTGAGTTACGATGTACTAATATAATATAACGTCACTTTACTAAGATTAAGTCATCAATTTAAATAATCTAGTAACAGACATGAAAAAAATCACATTTCTCACTGAGAACTAAGGTGTCAAGGCAAAGTCTTCAGGAAGCTATTTCCTACCTTAAAGACTAACGGAATCAGAGCCCTAGTTACCATCTAGACCCACCCTAGTATCAATCAAAGTACTAGATTGTAGGTAGACCGTTTCTACTTGTGCAATCACAGTACTAGATTGTAGATAGACCGTCCCTACTTATGCAAATACAGTACTAGATTGTAGATAGACCGTCCCTACTTATGCAAATACAGTACTAGATTGTAGATAGACCGACCCTACTTATGCAAATACAGTACTAGATTGTAGATAGATCGTTTCTACTTATGCAAATACAGTACTAGATTGTAGATAGACCGTCCCTACTTATGCAAATACAGTACTAGATTGTAGATAGACCGACCCTACTTATGCAAATACAGTACTAGATTGTAGATAGATCGTTTCTACTTATGCAAATACAGTACTAGATTGTAGATAGACCGACCCTACTTATGCAAATACAGTACTAGATTGTAGATAGATCGTTTCTACTTGTGCAATCACAGTACTAGATTGTAGATAGACCCTAGTATCAATCAAAGTACTAGATTGTAGGTAGACCGTTTCTACTTGTGCAATCACAGTACTAGATTGTAGATAGACCGTCCCTACTTATGCAAATACAGTACTAGATTGTAGATAGACCGTCCCTACTTATGCAAATACAGTACTAGATTGTAGATAGACCGACCCTACTTATGCAAATACAGTACTAGATTGTAGATAGACCGACCCAACTTGTGCAATCGCAGTAAACACGTCCCATTTTAATTCTGGAAACCCAATTTCGGTCAAAGGTGTTTACAAAATTCAACATGCTGTTTTCATGAATTCATACACAGGAACAAAAAATGAAAACAAATTGTTTCGAAAACTCAAAATGTAAACTATGTCGCCCATTGCGAGAATATTTTCCTTTGCTCAAAACTCATGTTTTTGTTTTGGAAATATGGTGTTTCTACAAGTATCATGACACATATTTCAACTCACTTAAACTTTATTCAACTAAATAATAGCGTTATTAAAATATTTCCCCCATGGGCGAGAAATATTTACTTTGTTTAAACCTCATTGGTTGTTGTGTTTTTTTCAAATACTTGGAGGTATGTCAACAAGCGTCATGACGTACTTCAAGTCCGTTTAACCTAATAACGTTATCAAAATACTTGACTCGTGGGAGAAAACGTTTGGTGCATGGCCCAGCAAAAATATTCCTTTGTTCAAAATTAAACTTCTTTCGTGCTTATGCAGATGTGAAACTAAATGTATCATGACACATATTTCAAATAATTGTAACATTGTTCAACTATTAAAGTTTATAGTCATATTAAAAATTGGCTCACTTCTTGGTTTTGCAAAAACACAAAGGTGTAAAGCAACTTAATTTTTAGCGCTTTAAAACTTGACATACAAACAAAAATCAATCAAGATTAAAATATTTTATATATATAACAAGTGTCACAGAATATACGGTTGATAAGTAACATCAATTCATGTATGAAGAACATAAACATAAAGTCATGTTTCAATGTTTTTACACAATAATTACATTTAAAAGCATATCTTAGTAAACGGGGTTTTCCGTGACACACCTACATAAATATCAATCTATTTACACAATAATTTTAAGCATGTCAATGAACATTTACAAGCATGAAGCAGCTATGAGTCCTTCGCTTGGATGAGTTCCGCTGGCCTGAAAAGTGAAACAGAAGGCTTTCTGTTTGCTGCTCAGGGCCAGTCAACTTCCCACTCGAAACCGCCAAAGTGTGATTTTTCATCAAAATGTTAATATGAAATGTAGATTATGTAATGAATTTAATGAGACTGTCCAACACATTGTCAGTGGATGCCCAGCTTTGGCACAAACACAGTATCTTAAGCGACATGATGGATTGGCTCGATCATTTTGTTACCGTCTTCGCCATGCTTGTGGTTTTGACACAAAGGTCCATCCATAGTACGACCCGGAATATGTAGAGGGCGTCAAGGAAAATGTTAAACACAAAATTCTTTGGAATAAGTCCGTATGCAGCCTCAGACGTATCCAGGCCAACAAACCTGATCTTGTCCTTTTTGATACATCCAATGAAATCATTTATATTATTGAATTTTCTGTCCCTTATGACACCAGTGTGATTGACAAGATTCAGGAAAAAACATTGTAAATATGCAGACCTCACGTTCGAAATGTCACGCTTGCATCCAAAGTACCAAGTTGTCCGACTCCCCATTGTTCTCCGTGCCTTAGGTATGGTACCTCCCAATCTGTTGACTTACATTGGGAGAGTACCCGGGTTTGCTACCAGGAATACAGCCCTTCTGACAATTTGGGTAATGCAGAAGGCTGCAGTGTTGGGGAGTCTTCACATTCTCCGAAAAGTCCTGGGTGGGTTTGACCAGGTAGCTTGTTTGCTGTGTTTGTTGGGTGTTTTATTTGATTGTTTGTTTGTTTTAAATGCGACCGAGTAAGCCTGTTTTGAATAGATAAATGCCTAATGCTTTAAATTTTTGTAAGTTATTTGAGGGGTTTAGTAGAGTTGCTTGTGCCATTTGGTTGTTGTAGTTTGGTTCGGATTCGGAATCTGAATCTGCAAGATATCAGACAAAATCCTGTCATAAAATGGCCGACTTCGACGGGCAGATTACGGTCACAGGTTCTATGTTTCAGAATAGGATAATATATTTGTTTAGATTGGAGAAGAACGTTTTCAAATGACGGGATATCTTTATATTATATATATCATATATATCTTTCATTTCTTCAGTGTCTATATCACGTTCTTCAACGATGTGTTTATTTACAGTGCAGTCATCTTTCAGTGCTCTAGTCTTTGCATTAAGATCACCCATGAGTAAAAT